AATTGAATTGAATTGAATTGAAATCATCTCTCTCCATCCCTTCCTCTTCCTCCTTCAGCAGTTTGATTTCATTCTCACGTCGCAGGAGTTTATTTGCTCAGCGTGAGTCTGCCCACGTTAGGTCCACTTGAAACAAAGTTTCACTAACAGCAGCTAACAGAGACAAAAACAGCAGTGCTTATTGACAGAAAATCACAGCTCACCTCAGTATCACTGACGTTGACTCGCTGACAGTGTAAGGGATAATATTCAGGCCGAGTCAATATCAAAATGTAATAAAAAATCAGGTAAATACCAAAATTTTGTAGGGCTTCAGCTCTCGTCCAGTATAATGTGAGAGGTTGTTGATAAGATGATGATATAAATCACATGAATGTCAGGGCTACACTCCACAGCATCAGTAAACAAGTAAAGGGAAAGTGTTTTACTTCCTCTGATAGAGAATATTGTTTGTTTACTCGTAGTTGCCATAGTTAACTGCATCTTCATAATGTTTAGTGGATTTTTCACTATGTGTTGGGATTATTAACAACAACAACGAATGTTGAATGTGAAGCTGCCAGGCAGGAAAAGAGGAAAACCAAAGAAAAGATTCATAGATGTAGCGAAGGAGAGGATTAGTGTGAAAGCAGAGGAGGCTACTGATAGGAAGAGACTCTCAGTGGTGACTTCTGATGGGAGCAACAAGAAGAAGACGACCAAAGAAAAGATTGCAAATTTGTTTCAAACTGTATTTCATGTCTCCTTGCAGTGATTGGCACCAGGCAATAACAAGAACCATGGTGACCAAGAAAGTGAGGACAGAATATATGAAGAAGTTCAGGGACCCCAAATGGGAGACGTTTTCTAAATGCTATGAGGACTCTGTGAAGTACCGTCTGACTCGCCGGGTGATCGAACATTCCCACAAGCCCTGGTTCTGGGAGGGCTGGGACAGCGGCTCTGACTCCAGCGGCTGGTCAACACCGAGGCTGACCAGGAACAAAGTGGTTCCTCTGTCTCTCCCGCTGCCGCCCACATCCTTGGAGGTCAAGCAGAGGTTGGAGTCAAAGACCAGTCCGGTGCAAAAGCCAGCGTGCGAGGATGGAGAGACTGACGTGGGGGACCGGGACGCTGCGGTTGTAGATGCGGCACAAACCACAGGTAAGAGAACGGGTCGCCAAGCAGAAATTCTAAACATATTCTTAGTTTCTTAAATGTGATTAGGCGCTGCTTCTCTCCCTGGTAAATGTTTTAAACATATCGTAAAACGTTCTGCTTTGGACAAGACATC